AGCGGAAATTTTGAGTCATTTGGAGAACCGGCCAATCCCACCTCTGACTGGCCCCGCCCCCATTTCTTCTCTGCCTCCCATTGAGTCCCAGCTGATTGGCTGGGCCTCCTTTGGTTGCCGTGCACAGGAGAACAGAACTGGAAAGCAGGTTAGTGGGGTTGGGAGGGAATGGGATTTTGCAGTAACCTTCCCCTGCCACACCCACCAAACCACGTCCATCAAGCCACAGCACACCCACCAAGCCATACCCACAGAACCGGTAGTAAAAAAATTTGAATCCCGCTACTGCTAAGTAAATCTAACATACCCAAGAGAAGAATTAAGGAGGTCATGATAACCATCTTCCAATATTTGAGGAGTTGTCGACCTATTCTCCAAAGCACCAGAGGGCAGGAAAAAGAAATATTAGGCGGAAGATCCTTAAAGAGAGATCCAACCTAAAAGTTAGGAGAAATGTCCTGACAGAGAGAACTGTTAAGCAGTGGAACGGCTTGCCTCTGGAACATCTATGTCAAGTCCGTGTATTGCCATTCTTCAATGGAAGAGGACGGTGGGGGGGAGTTGGTACAAGTAATCCTTTTTGATGTAACCTGAATATATTAAATTCTATATTTTGATTCTGTATACCTTGCATATGATATACAACTGGAGGAGTGGAGCCAGATGTCTAGAAACTTGTCACCTCTTGAAGAGATAACAAGATGAGAAGGAACCATAAAAATTCCAGCTCTGGAAGTCACTCCTGGGAAGGGGAGGGGGGAATTAACATGTTGGTTCTTTGTTTGACTAAATCCACATCTGAATAAGGGGAGGAATTCTAACTTCCTTTATCTATGACTGAATGCCTTGGGATACCTTAGATTCTGCTTTGCCTAGTGTTGAGATACAATCCCTTTCAACAAAGGATTCCTTTTGAGACACCTGGTTTTCAGAAGTTCATTCTTTTCGGTTGAAGGGAAAACGTTCAGGGCTTACAGTGTGGGTGCTCCATCACTGGAGGTTTTCAAAAATAGACAGGACAACCCTTTGGGATACTCTCCTGCCCTGTGCAGGGGGCTGTAGTAGAACCAGGGGTGGGCTGCAGGGGGTTCGCAGGGGTCCGGGAGACCCCTTGTTCTGTGCAGTTCGGAGAACACCCAAATCCCCCTCCTAGCTGGCCCCGCCTACCCTGCCCCTCCCCTCCCAGGAGTCCCCACGTGGCCAATTTTGGATACAGGTCAGCGCAGGGCGCATGTGAAGGCTCATGGAGGGTGAAAAAAGGGGCTCCTGGAAGTTCAGGAAGGCCAGAAATGGGCCAGTTTCCAGCTTCCGGACAGCCTCCAAGCCTGAGGAAGCTGTTTTCGCCCTCCCAGAAGCTTGAGGAAAGCCTCTTGGCCATTAAGTCACCGAGACGTATTGTACATTTTGGTGCAAATAACAACATTAATCATATCTGTTACATTCATCAAACTTATGTAGCTCTAGCGTTAATACACGTATTTGTATTAAATTATAATCTTTCATTATTTAGTTATTCAGTGTTCCAGTATATTCTTCTAACGCTAATCACAATATTGTTTAAACATACACGATAATTTTGTTATTCAATTTCTAATCTTCCCTCTAATTATTGCTTTTATCTCATTATATAAAAATGTGTGTATTAATAACCCCCGTCAAAAATAATATTAATCATATCTGTTACATTCATGAAACTTATGTAGTTCTAGCATTAATACACATATTTGTATTAAATTATAAGTCAGACCATATTTTTAGGGCTGTGATTTACAGAATTACAAAACATGCACATACGTTTTAGTTGCTGGGAGGGTGAAGTGTTTTTTTTCATTGCATTGATGTTTGAATTGGAGGATGTGGGTGCTTAATGCAACCACTATCTTGGTTACTGATAGCAAACCATTTAGGAAAGAACGTTGCACAATAATGCTCTATTACCGGTGCATGTTATCTTTGATAGCAAGAACATCTTACACCAGAGGTCTCCAAACTTGGCAACTTTAAGAGTTTTATTTTTTTTTAATTTGATTTGTCAATCACTTACAAGATAATAGGTATAAGTAAAAACATAGTTATGAATACATGAAATGGATAGATATAAGAAAAATAAAATGAAACAATGGGACGGTAGGCACGCTGGTGAGCTTAAGCACGCCCCCTACAGACCTCTTAGGAAAGGGGTGGGGTCAATAGTAGACAGTCTAAGGTTAAAGTTTTTGGGGTTTGGGAAAGAAACCACAGAGTCAGGTAGAGTATTCCAGACATTGACCACTCTGTTGTTGAAGTTGCATTTCCTGCTATCAAGTTTGGTGCGATTAACCTTGAGTTTGTATCTATTGTGTGCTGGCCATGCTGGCTGGGGAATTCTGGGAGTTGAAGTCCACAAGTTTCAAAGTTGCCAAGAGATCCCTGTCTTAAATTGTAATTTGAAATCTTAGAAACTCTTATTAGAGGAAATGTCGATGCCCACCCCCCCCCCGCCAGCACTATCTGAAATATATATTCTTAAAAACATGGATCAACTGCTTGTGGAATGCAAGATTCTCAAGTGGGAAGTACCAGAGTTAGCATGGATTTTTTTTTTATAATTGTGGAAAAGGGATGTAAACAGCATATCATCCAAATCTCCCACTTCAGGCCACACCATATGTTCCATATTAGCGGGCTTGAAACCCTGCATTCCCATTGGTCCGTTTCAACCGCTACCTGATTGGACATCCTGGGCGGTTATGATTGGCTCGCTAAGAATCTGCCGTGATTGGTTAAAACCAAGCGTGGGAGACTTAAAGCGATGTCATTGGCCACCAAGCCACATCGTTCATGGATCATGGTTCAGGAGGCAATTGGACTTTCCTTTGAAGACGTTTCTCTTCTCATCCAAGAAGCTTCTTCAGCTCTGCATAATAGTGGGGAATGGAAGGATTTATACTGTTGTATATTTATATTCCTTTATATTCCTCTATTCCTTCCTTTTAGAGGGAAGGATGCAAATGGCCAGCTCTCTGCAAGGAATATAAATCCTTCCATTCCCCGCTATCCGTTCAGAGCTGAAGAAGCTTCTTGGATGAGAAGAGAAACGTCTTCAAAAGAAAGAAAAACCAAGAAAGTCCAGTGGCCTCCTGAAAAAAGCAAAAATTTGTTCCAAAAATTGTTTGGGACAAGAATTTACAGGCAGCCCTCAGCTTACAGCAGTGCATTTAGTGACTGTTTGAAGTTACAATGGCATTGAAAAAAGTGAATTATGACCGTTTTTCACATGTTCGACTGTTGCAGCATCTCCATGGTCACGTGATCAAAATTCAGATACTTGGCAACTATAACAGTGGTTGCCAACCAGTGGGCCGGGGACCACTGGTGGTCCGTGAGAAAATTTTGATGGTCCGCAGAGAAATGTCACCCCCAAAGCAATTAATCCAGACTGCACGGAAACACAAGGCTGTGCTCCCCACAGCTTGCATTGCAAACAACGCGAGGTAGTGAGGGGAGGGGGTGAAAGGGCAGAAGGGGGAACTCTCCCCACATGCCTCGATTGGCCACCAGGCTGCTTCTTTCCACTTCTTTCTTCTTTTGCTTTTGGCTGCACACAAGGAAAGCAGCAAAAGTCTTTTTTTCTCTCCTCCAAACTCCGCCAGAAATGAGTCTTTCAGACCCTGCAAGGCCTCCTGCTCCAAGAGGCTGTGCCGGCATGACAAGTCTCACAAGACTCATTTCTGGCAGAGTTTGGGGGTGAGAAAGAAAAACTTCTGCTACTTCTGCTGCTTCTGCTGCTTTCCTTGCATGAAGCCAAAAGTCTCTCTCTCCCTCTCCCCCCCCCCCACCGAGAACGGAGCTGGAGACAGTATTCTGTGATCCTAAATAAAGAATGATCGATCTTTAGGAAAACGGGGTGGGGAATTTTCCCAGGGTCTCTGGTCCATGGGATTTAAAATTATGAGTTTGGTGGTCCCTGAGGTCCAAAAGGTTGGTGACCCCTTATTTATAATGGTTGCAGTATCCCAGGGTCATGTGATCACATTTTACAATCTTCTGCCAAGCAAAGTCATTTTTTCTAATGTTGAGTTAATACAATTCTAGCTGCTCTTAATATATGTACAATTAAATATATTTTTTCTTTGCTATAACTCTCAGGTAGGATCTCCAGTAAAAATACCGCAGGCTTTAAATCTATATGTTATTTTATCATCTTTTCCAACCATGTATGTATTTTTGTCCAATATCTTTTAGCCTCTGTGCATGTCCACCACATATGGTAATATATGATCCAGGTATTTGATGACATTTCCAACATTTCGCTGATTTGTCCTCAAACACCTTTGCCAATCTTGCCGGGAGAAGATGCCATCTATAAAACATCTTATACGCATTTTCTTTATAAGCTGTTGACATTGTTAATTTATAGTTTCTATCCCATAGTTTCTGGAAAAGTCAGTGGGGAAGGCAGATTTTATTTAACAACCGCGTTACTAACTTAACAGCTGTGGTGATTCACTGAGCAACTGTGGCAAGGAAGGTCGTAAAATGGGGGGGAGCCATTTAACAACGGTTTCGCTTAGCAACCAAAATTTTGGGCTCAATTGTGGTCACGGCGTTTCTCAACCTTGGCAGCTTTAAGATGGGTGGCCTTCAACTCCTGGGTAGGGAATTCTGGGAATTCTGGGAGTTGGAGGCCACCCACCTTAAAGCTTCCACCACACCAGAAAGCATGGATAGCTCAGGGCAGGCATGTTGGGTTGTGAAAGTCTTTTTAGCTTGGTTTTGGGATTGCAAACATTTCATTGCCATACTAGATAATTTCATCAGCACCATAGATGTGGGGAAGTTTGGTCTTTTGGTTGGTAAGGGCTGAGTAGATAAATGTCTCCCTTTATAAATTTATAAATGTCTCCAAATGTCTCAGTCTCCATCAATTGCTTGAAATAAGCGTATTGCTTAAAAGACTAAAAAACTATACTTTTAAATGAATTACAGCTTTTTGATTATTACTTTTTTTTTATTTGTAGATTTCTGCTGGTGCTGGTTTGTTTAATTTTCAGTGTTCTGTCTACTATAGAACATTATGCAGAATTTGCCACCGGAATGCTTTTTTGGATGGTAAGTGATCTACTTTGACATATTAGATAAATTGCATATAGCGTAGATGAGTTGGGACCTCTCTGTGAAAAAATGAACAAGTGAAAAAGGCCAGATTTTGTTATTATATACTGTCTGGATGGCTGGTGTGGCTCTAGGAATTGTTGGGAGACAGATATGCCCCCCCCCCCAGTGTGCCAAAAACAGGTGTGAAATTTAGTGTTTTGGGGCTGGCAAGGAGGAAAGGGGTTGCCTCTGTATCACTTTATAATATAAATTGATTTCTGAACAGTTGATGTAAATGCATATTTTAAAAGAGTGTTAAAAATAAAGATGATTGTTCTTGATTTTAGGAAATTGTCTTGGTGGTCTTTTTTGGTGCTGAATATGTGGTGAGGCTCTGGTCTGCAGGTTGCAGAAGCAAATACGTTGGTATCAAAGGAAGAATACGTTTTGCCAGGAAACCGATATCGATAATAGGTAAGCCCTACTTTAAAATAACATTCCAGTTGGGACTTCCGGTTTGAAGGTCTTCCAGAATTCCTTAGGCAGCATATTGGCTGGGAATTCTGAGTGCTGGAAGTCCACAAATGTCAGCAAGGGAATTCTGGGAATTGAAGTCCACAAATGCTGGCTGGGAAATTCTGGAAGCGGAAGTCATTTTAAAAGTTGTTGAGGAGTGGGAACGACATATCTAGTGTATCAAGAACTGCAAACACCTTCAGAAATGAGGGATATTATTGCTAATCATAGCCATTCTTGCTTCACCTCTATCTATGATTATGAATTTTCCAGAAGGAATAAGAAAACTTTCTTCTTCTCTCCATCCATTCTCCCACCTTTTTGCAATATGGAGATTACCATGCTGCCCATTGTTTAATGCTATTGCTTTTTTTACCAAGATTTACAGATGTTTTTAAAGTCAGGTGCATTTGAAAGCCATGTTCTGTCAATTAACAGTGCAATAAATTATAAAATACTGCATAAGAGTCTCTAAGCTGAGTCTCTAAGTTGGGATGGCTAATTTTAAACCCGTGTAAGAAAATAGCTTTACATTAACAATGGCAGCCACATATAAAGAAAAATCTCTACAAAATGTTTTATCGCTGGCACCTAGCACCAGCAAGGTTGGCCAAAATTTACCCAAATTTGAACCTGGTATGTTGGAAATGTAAAAAAAAAAAAAAACAGGCACCTTCTTTTATATGCGGTGGTCATGTTCTAAAGCAAAGAAATTTTGGAATAAAATAAGGATTTGGCTGCAAGAAATAACTGGTTTAAAAATAGAACTTAAGCCTGAAATGTTCTTATTAGGGATAATCAGAGGTAGATACAAGAAAGATATTGAATATGTAATAATACATATATTGATAACAGCTAGAATAATGTATGCCCCAAACTGGAAATTAGAAAATAGTCCCACAGATAACATCATTATAAAAAAAATATGGATTAGGAAGAATTGAATAAACTTACAATGGAATTTCAGGACAAGGAAGAAAAAGAATACTATACGGTCTGAGGAAAATGGTATGTTTGGTTAGATAACAGGAAAAAAGATAATGTAAAATGTAAATGATATATGTATGTATGTATGTAAATGAATATGGAAAAGTCAGTGCCACAACTTAGAGCAAAAACTATACATATGATTTGTTTTTAAAAGTGTAAAAATTTAATAAAATTTATTTTTTTAAAAAGAAGAAAATAGCTTTACAAAGTATTAAGGCCTGCTTTGTGGAAGGTTTCTTTTCGTAAACAGTGTTAAGCAGATATTGAAATACTTCATATGCTTTGTCAACAGATCTCATAGTTGTGATAGCTTCAATTATTGTTCTCAGTGTGGGATCGAATGGACAAGTTTTTGCTACTTCTGCAATAAGGTAGGTTGAAACAGTTTAGATAAATTATTTAAAAAATACCCTGTTTCTCAACTTTGCATCCTGCCTATATGCATACTGTATATTCTTAGTGCCACTGCCATAATTGTTGTGATTTTTTTGATGCATGTAAAACTATTTATTTATTGATTTGATTTGATTTGTCAATCGCTTACAAGATAACAGGTATAAGTATAAACATAGTTTTGAATACATAAGATGGATATGTATAAGAAAAATAAAAAGAAACAATACTATAGGGACGGTAGGCACGATTGGTATGCTTATGCATACCCCCTACAACAAAGGACAGATTTGAGATAAGTTATTCCTGCCCCTCTGAGGCACGGTTAGATAGAAAGAAGCAATTAAGAAGCCCTACTTAAACTTTACAGACAAGATAATACGATCCACTTTCCAAGGTTCCATAACCTTGCATATATTTTCCAGTCAGCAGAAGTAGCCTGCAGTACCGCACTCTAACCATTGCGCCACCGTGGCTCAGCGATATAGATGTACATCATGTAGATGTAGATGTATGGTGCAGGTATACATTTATATATGTATATTGCACGTGTATATATGTGTTATCTATGTGTTTGGGTAGAAATACTCTTTCTTTTGAAGAGCTGGCATGAGAATTTCATTTTTAATGTGGGCCAGTGTGCTCACAGTAAAAAAAAATGACAATAAAAGTTATCTTATCTTAAGTGCCAGCCTCCTCATCTCTCTAAATTCCAGATCTTGATGCATAAAGAACACCAGTCTCAATTTTCACTCTACATTTTCTCTTCCAATGTTTCTTTTAAGGGGAATCCGGTTTCTACAGATCCTTCGCATGCTTCATGTAGATCGACAAGGCGGTACTTGGAGACTCCTGGGGTCTGTGGTATTCATACATCGTCAGGTACCGTGTCAAACATGAAGTGCACTTCTGCTGTTGCAAACATTATCCATTTTCAACTTGCCAAAGAACTAAGGGAAGAGGGAAGGGGGAGATGGAATGTGGGCTCTAGATTTCAAACAGAAGAGCTGTGAGAGCCAAGGACACATCGGCAGGTGTCTGCCAAGCCTAGAGACTTTTCTCATAACAAAATACTGGCACTCAATTGGATAATGTGACCTACAGTAATTGGGGAAGGGGGAATTCCATATTGTAACTACAATATATGGGCTAGCATGGGAAATAATCAGAGCTGGTTTTGCCTTCTTCAGTGCTGAAATGATGTATTCAATAAAGTTTGTATTCAACCTTTGGAAAATCTTGAAGGTGTTTACTTTGGTTGGGTTCATCAGTCAGAACGCTGATATACCTTATGTGAGCAGAATATTATATATATTTGACAATCTCCTCTGACACTTCCAAACCTTTTATCAGCACATCAAGTACCGTATGGCAAAAACAGGAGGGAAGAAGAAGTGGTTATGGGGATGTACTATTCTTGGGACAGAAGCTCATTTTATATCCTGTGGCTTCTAAAAGGCATACTATTGTTTATGATTTGCCTTAGCAATAGGAGTCTAATTAGACAGTTGTTGAATAAATTTTTACAAGTAGTTCTCGACTTACAACCAAGTTACAACCTATCTGCAAAAGAGGACTTATGAGAAGGTCCAAAGTTCCAAGATGCATCATCACAGTCAAATGATTGTACTTTTGGTCAATGCAGCTGCATTTATAGCTGTTTGCAAAATCCCATAGAAATGGAACCATGTTTCACCATATTTTTGCCCAAACCTGGCACTTATTTCTGGGTTTTGGCAAAACCATGCCTTAGCGAACAATGGGTTCGCACTTAGGACCACCACATTCACACAATGACCGCTGTAAAAATGTTAGAAAGTCAGATGGGTCATGTGACCAACCCATTTTACAACCGTGACCACTTATGATTGTAATAAGGCAGGCTCCATTATGGTCGTAATTTGAGGACTTCCTGTATTGTGATTCACCAGGAGAGATCCATTACATGAAAATTATGCAATTGGGTTTTTTTTTATAACAGAAGGTCAAGAAACAAGAATATTAAATATGAAAGATACCATTATTAAAAGGTATCATACACACGGAAAGTTGTGTTTATTTATATTTCATGCTTCTTAACCAGAGTGGGGCCCTGGACGGTGTACAATTTAATCAATAACATTAAGAGCCAGGGTGGCGCAGTGGTTAGAATGTGGTATTGCAGGCTAATTCTGCTGATTGCCAGCAGTTCAATTCTGATCTGCTGGCATCGGCCTTCCATCCTTCCGAGGTGGGTAAAATGAGGACCCAGATTGTTGGGGGCAACATGCTGACTCTGTAAACTGCTTAGAGTGGGCTGTAAAGCACTGTGAAGTGGTATATAAGTCTTAGGGCTACTTCTATTGTGTCCAAGCTTGAAAGGTCTAAGTAATTCATGGTTGTTTTCCTTAGGAACTCATAACTACCCTGTACATTGGATTCTTGGGCCTAATCTTCTCATCCTATTTTGTCTATCTTGCTGAGAAAGATGCTGTGGATGAAGAGGGACAAACTGGATTCTCTAGCTATGCTGATGCGCTCTGGTGGGGAGTGGTAAGTCTTGTTCTCTGGATATCATAGGAAGATGCTATTTGCATCAGAGCCTCAAAGGAGATATGGCAGCTGTGTGGCCCCTGGAAACTTGATTAAAGAGGGAGATTTTACAGAGAAGAGAGCTGGTTTAATTTAGCGGGTAAGTAATCCAGCTACAAACTGGTTTTCAAAGACCCGTCCAGCCCTATGATTCTCTGATCCCTTAGCTTAGATGAGGCTTTTCCTGTACAAGGCACGGGGTGAGATTCAGCTGGTTTGGTCTGGTTTGGGCAAACCGGATGTAAAATTTACATCCGGTTTGCCAAACCGGTAGTTGAACCAACTATCTGGCCCCGCCCACCCCATCCCGCCCCTCCCCAGAGTCTACACACGACCCATTTTGGATGCAGGTAAGTGCAGGGTCTGTGCAGAGGTTCTGGGAAGTGAAAAACGAGCCTTCTGGAAATCCAGAAACGGGCCTGTTTCCGGCTTCTGGAAGGCCTCTGGACCCAGGGGAGGCCATTTTTGCCTCCCAGAGGCCTGAGGGAAGCCTCTGGACTCTGGGGAAGGCGAAAAATGGCTCTCCTGGAAGTTCTGGTAGGCCACGCCCACTGTGGCCACGCCCACCCAGCAACCGGGCAGCGAACCAGTTGCTGGGATTTTTGAATCCCACCCCTGACAAGGCAGCTGGTATATTTCCACTTTGGACCTGAATAGCTGCACACCCCTAATATGCTGTCCTGAGAAACTGTCCTCCTTAAATGACAATCTTCAAAAGGGAAAAGTCATTTTAAAATTGAAAAATAAATGACAGGGGAGTCCACATTAAATACTCTGTCGTGACATGAGTGGGTGAAAATAAAAACATTTCCAAGACTCATTCAGTGCTATACTTAGATTTGAAAACTGTGCATTAAGAATTAAGATGCCATTACATAAGGATGACTCAGTCTAATGAGATTCACAGGGAAAATAGAATTATCACAGCTGTTGTTAATTATAACTAAAAATAATTTCCATCTTCAGAAACTATGTGAGTTTCTTAAGAGCCCTTATAAAAAAAGGATGAGAAGAATAGACAAATCTTCAACTCATTCTTTATCATCACCATTCATGGGTCTGGCAAATATAAATTACAATTGATTTATGGCCAATTTCTATTGTTATTCTGATTATTAGCCCTGCCTATTTCTTGAAATAAATTCTCACCTGGTTATTCGTAAACAAATATAAGAGAAGAAAAATGATTGAAGCAAGATAAAGAAACCAAATGCTAACATACACAATAATTCCATATATAAAGCTAGTCTTCCTTCTCTAGTTTGAATAATCCTGGTTATGTTTTCCACCTATAAACTGCAAAAAAACCCAAATTAGAACAATTAAAGCAACTGTTCAAATGTTGGTGCATACTTAGAATAAACATCAGAGTTCCATCAATTTTAACCAGAATTTTTCCTGCTAATTTTTAAATTCTTCCCTCTTATTTGTCTTTTTCCTCAATTACTCCCCAAAGAGGAAATAAAAAGGTGATCATCTGAAGGGAATACAGGCAGTCCTTGATTTACGACCACAATTGAGCCCAAAATTTCTGTTGCTAGGCGAGACATTTGTTGAGTGAGTTTTGCCCCATTTTACGATCTTTCCAGCTATAGCTGTTAAGTGAATCACTGCAGTTGTTCTGTTAGTAACACAGTTGTTATATGAATCTGGCTTCCCCATTGACTGTGCTTGTCAGAAGGTTGCAAAAGGGGATCCCATGACCCCGGGACACTGCCACCGTCATAAACATGAGTCAGTAGCTAAGCATCTAAATTTTGATCACACGACCATGGAGCTGCTGCAACGGTCATAAGTGTGAAAATAATTCCTGTCATGCCCAAGGTAGAGTCGGACTCTGAGGGAGAGGAGGAACAGCCAACAGGGAGTGGAGGTGTGGCTCCGAAGGTTGTGGAGGAGGCTGGGGAAGGGCAGAGGCCGTCTGGGCAGTCAGAGGAGGATCCAGGCCCATCCCCTATCCATCCTAGGACATGCAGGGAGGAACGGAGAAGGGAACAATGTGGTTTACGAGAGAGGAAGTGGCCATGATCTCCCTCATTGGTTGCAGCTGGGGAGAATAGTATATAAGAGAGACGGTTAGTTGCCAGAAGCAAAGCATGTTTTATTTTGGGCTGAAGTTATCTTGGTTAGTGTCCTTCCAACAGACTGTGCCTTGTTATCTCCTTGAAGTTGGTAATTACTGTACTTATCTTGGTCCATTGTGGAAATTCCTTCATTGTAGTTTGTTTTAGTTTTTTATTTCACCTCTATCTGCTCATTAAGTTCGGACTGTATTGCTTTCTTTTGAAGACTATTTTTGAGTATGTTTTATCTCCAACTGAGAATGATTGAACAGTGGGGCCAAGTTGGAGGCATTAAAGGACATTTATTTATGTTTTGGATTTTGTACGTTTGTGTTACACTCCGGGTCATCACAATTCCCTTTTTTTCAGTGCCGTTGTAACTTTGAATGGTCACTAAATGAACTGTTGTAAGTCGAAGACCACCTGTGTCTGGCATTTTTTTCCCCCAAACAAAATATTTATCTTTATAGATAGCAACTATTAACATTTAAAGAGCAACTCAGCCACCCAATGATGTGTATTTATTTGGTGTCTCCTTCTGTACTTAAAGGAGCTATGTGGGTCGAAGTTCTGCAGGTTGTTGCCGCCCCCCCCCCCGAATCACATGACCACACTTCAGATGCTCAGCAAGAGCATTGGTGCATTGGTGGCCATTTGCAATGGCCCGAGGTCACATGACCACGTTTTCTGACCATTTTGCTGAAAACCCAGCACTTCCGGTTTTCAGCAAAACCGTGCCTGTAGTGAACAATTGGCTTGCTTAATGACTGTCACAGTAACAGTTTGTCAAATTGGAACTGTCATATGTGACTGATGTTAACTCATAAAATATTTCTATGGTCTTTTTAGAGGTGCCATCAGAAAGGGAGGTGGGAGCAGTGGGCAGCTTGCATTCCATAAATGTTTTCAAAGATAGTTTCTAGGTGACTGAAGTTTCTGCCGTGCAAAATTCTAACTGGACAGCATGATTGATGACTCTTGGCTATGGATGTGTCCCATTGGAGGATATGAATTATAATACACCCAGGGGGTGGGGGGAAAACCAAGGTCAAGGGGAACAATGAATGATGTGTCTCAGAGTCGGCTACACCCAGGCAGTGCTGGCATGTTTACTTCTAATAAATCTTCTTTAAGTTTTGGAAGTTCGGCTAGAGACTTAGGATTTAAATGGGGGTAATGGCTGGAGCCCTGAGAACTGATCCATGTTATAATCTTCACAAGTTACAGTCGTAACTCATGGCGATTACCGGTTTGGGCACCTCTGTATGTAAGCATAGATTGTCGTCAGCCATTCAGCCATGTCCAACCTTGGCCGCTTTATGGATTACCATTTTCCATGCCCCTCTGTCTCACATGCCTCCTTCAGATCTTCCGTGGTCACCAAAATGTCCAGACAATGGGTACTAGAGTGGCCCCTTCTCCTTTTTTCTGCTGATTTCTCCTCAGCATGATTGACTTTTCTAATGATTAACTCTCATACCAAAGTATGACAGCCTCTGTTTATGACAATCTTTGGCTTCAACTGATATTTTTGGTGAGGTTGTTCTTTGTTTGTAATTTTTATGGTTCATGGGATGTGTAATAGTCTCCCCCAGCACCATAGTTCAAAGGCCTCCACCCTTCCCCTAACTGCCTTTTTCAGTGTCCAACTTTGGCAGCCATCAGTAGCCATTGGAGACCAATAACCTAATATAGCAATAGTTCTTGGACTTATATACTGCTTCACCCACCTTTACAGCCCTCTCTAAGCGGTTTACAGAGTCAGACTCTTGCCCCCAACAATCTGGGTCCTCGTTTTACCCACCTCCGAAGATTGGAAGGCTGAGTCAATCTTGAGCCAGTCAGGGTTGAATTCCTGGCAGTGGGCAGAGTTTGCCTGGAATACTGCATTCTAACCCCTGCGCACCAAGGAAGGAAGGAAGGAAGGAAGAAAGGAAGGAAGGAAGGAAGGAAGGAAGGAAGGAAGGAAGGAAGGAAGGAAGGAAGGAAGGAAGGGGAATAGCAATGGCACTAACACTTAGATTATATCCTGCTTCACACTGCTTTTACAGCCCTCTCTAAGTGGTTTACAGAGTCAGCGTATTGCCCTCAACAATCTGGGTCCTCATTTTACCCACCTTGGAAGGCTGGAAGGTGGAGTCAACCTTGAGCCTGATGAGATTCGAACTGCCAAATTGCAGTCAGCTGGCAGTCAGCAGAAGTAGCCTGCAGTACTGCACTCCAACCATTGCGCCACCATGGCTAATGCATATATATTCCAGGAAAATTACACCCTTTCTTCTCTCTTTGCATAGGTGACAGTGACAACAATTGGCTACGGGGATAAAGTGCCACAGACATGGATTGGCAAGACAATCGCCTCCTGTTTCTCGGTGTTTGCAATCTCATTCTTTGCTCTGCCTGCAGTGAGTATATGAGTATTAAGTATGAGCCAGCCGTGTGCTGCAGCTGCTAAGAAAGCCAATGAAATCCTAGATTGTATCAACAGAGGGATAATTTCATTGATCACGTGAAGTGATAGCGCTGCTTCATACTTCACTGGTGAGACCACACTTGGAATATTGCATCCAATTTTGGTCACCACAATACAAAAAAGATGCTGAGAGTATCCAGAGATTAGCAACATAGATGATAAAGGGTCTGGAGATTAAACCCTACAATGAACTAGGTATATCTAGTCTGATGAATTAAGGGAGTTAGGGGTACATGATAACAGTTTTCCAGTTTTAAGGGGTTGCCACAGTTTTAAGGGGCTGTCACAGAGAAGAGGGGGTCAACCTATTCTCCAAAGCATCTGAGAGCAAGAAAAGAAGTAAGGGATGGAAGGTTATCAAAGAGAGATCCAACCTGGAACTAAGAAGAAATTCCTCGACAGTGAGAATAATTAATCAGTGGAACGGTTTGTCCCAGGAAGTTTTGGGTGTTCCATTACTGGGGGTTTTCAAAAAAGAGATTGGACAGCCATTTGCTCCTGGTTGAGCAATGGGTTGGACTAGAAGACCTCCAAGGTCCCTTCCAACCCTATCGTTCTATTTTCTATGAGTGGAAATATGATGCAAAAAGACAACACTTTCTGATTTTGAAGATTGTTCATCTGCCTAAAGTATCACCTTATGCAAGATGATTCAGACCAGGGATCTTCAAACTTGACAGCTTTAAGACTTGTGCACTTCAACTCCCAGAATTCCTCCTCCAGTCAAGTTAGCTCAGGAATTCTGGGAGTTGAAGTCCACAAGTCTTAAACTTGCCAAGTTTGAAGACCCCTTGATTTTTAGACCAGAGGCTCTGTCCCTTTTTATTCACTTCAAATAAAGACTTGTTCATTTCTTTATTTATACTATTTGCTAGTTGAATAACTACAAAGCATCTGAAGGCAATGGGCAAAAATGTTTTTAAAAGACTTGAGTAAACTAAGCAAAAAGTAACCGATAATGATAAAGGAACAAAAGAAGACTATGCATAATTAAAGGCTTTTTTAAAAAAAATAGTTTCCTTTGGTTTTCAGGGAATTCTGGGATCAGGATTCGCCCTTAAAGTCCAACAGAAACAGCGCCAGAAACATTTCAACCGGCAGATTCCTGCAGCAGCATCTCTAATTCAGGTAAATATTGAATTGTAAAACTGAGGGGGGGAAATGAAGGAAATGACAGAGAAATATCAGTGAAGCTGAGCAGAAGTGGTCCTTTCCATCTGTGGCCATTGTGCGAGGGAGGGGAGAGAAGAAGTTTCCAGAGAAGTTTCACAATAAGAGTACTCCGCTCCTCTGCTTGCAATAGAATACCTTAGGCTATCAGGCTTGAGATTTTGCACCTGGACACCCTAGAATCACACCATCTATGGTCTGACCTGAGCTTAGTACACAAAATTGTCTGCTACAACGTCCTACCTGTCAATGACTACTTCAGCTTCAACCGCAATAACACACAGGCAAACACTAGATACAAACTCAAAGTAAACCTTTCCAAACTCGATTGCAGAAAGTACGACTTCAGCAACAGGGTGGTCGATGCCTGGAACTCACTACCTGACTCCGTTGTCACATCCTCAAACCCCCAAAGCTTTAACCTTAAACTGTCTACCGTGGACCTCACTCCATTTCTAAGAGGTCTGTAAGGGGGTGAGCATAAGTGCACCAGCGTGCCAACCGTCCCTGTCCTACTGTTCCCATTTATCCATTTGTTCGTACTCATTTATTATGTATATACTTATACCTGTTTATATATTATGTTTATATGTTATGTTCATACTTATGCTTGTTGTCTCATAAATGCTTAACAAACAAAACAAACAAACAAACTGTGGCACTCTCATGTTGAAAAATTAAAATAAAGGAATAAAGATAAAAAATAAATCGCCATGTTTGCTGTGAAATAGCATAAGCCTATTTTTACACCTCGTAGACTTTGTGGAGAAGTTACGCAGCAGAGAAACCTCAGGGCTGCTTGGCCACCTGGAAGATTTACTCAGCTCAGAACCCGAAGAAAACAGCAGCACCACCCAGCCCAAATTTCCGAAAACAGGTTAGAAGGAGCTTTATTCCCCTAGTTATTTACATATATAAAGCATTTTTCCTCAGGCCAAAAACCCCAATGTTTTCTCCTCACAACTCTATAGAGGACAAAAAGTCTGTAGAGGTTCTCCATCATCCAGGTCATAGTTGTCCCAAAAGTGCTTTGTTCAGGAGGCAACTGGACTTACTTGTTGTTGTTTTTTTGAAGACGTTTCACTTCTCATTCAAGAAGCTTCTTCAGCTCTGACAGAATAGTGGAGAATGGAAGGATTTATACTCCTTGCAAACAGCTGGTCATTTGCATCCTTTTAGAGGGTCGTTGAGGCCACTTGGAGGTTTATCTGTGTCCTCAGGGTTCCTGCAAACAGTTCCTGTAATCTGCAGTTTTTTAAAAAAAATTACAACAGATTTGGGTATTGGCTTTTGAGTCTTTAATGTAACTTTTTCAAAATTCTGTAAGCACGATTTTCTCCTGTATATAGAGGATCATAAAATTTGAGTTGTTCTGCTTTGTTTCAGAGTAAAAGATATAAGAGGAAAGGAAAACCTGGGCGTGATAATGGTTCGACATCTATCAATCCAGGAGATGCAGCCTTATCCATTCCTCAGATTACGTATGACTTCATTGATGATCAAGAAGACAAGAAAGAATTGAGTTTCTACCTTGATGAACCTGGAGGTAAACTATTGACTATCTCTTTTTGGCTTGGTACTTTTTGGGTCAGTTTCCTAGATTCAGAAGAGACACGGCTGCTTTAATGAGCTGGAGACTTAATACTTCCAGAACTAACCTGACATCTAGGGGTGTTGTGTTAAACAAAAGGGGGAGATTTTCAATGACAACATCAGGTCATCATTTTAATTATTTGGACCCTATCTTATGGACAACCTTGGGCATGGCTCCAAGTGTTTTCCTAATGGAATCACAAGCATGTCACAGTTCATGAGAGCTTTAAGTCTACCAAAAGGAATTTTGTTTTCTCTGTGTACATTGTTCTTTTAAAACCTGAGCAAGCCAGCATACTAAGGATCTTTAGTAGCCCACACCATAAAAAAGGATATTGAAATATTCCTGTAGTTTCATTAACAAGTGTGGGGGAATGACAAATTTGAGCTTTGTGGAATATAATTTGTTTTATAGTTTGTGGAATAGCCCCTATTTCCAACTGAAATGAAACTGAGATTCTCTGTGGGATTTTACAATTTTGTGAAATTGTATCTGGATAATAACTTAACATCTTCATATGGAATTAGGCAGCGGTCCTTATTCCCCTGATTCTGCGCTTTCGATACAACAGAGAAAAAGAAAAGCAAAAAACATAGTGTTGCTTGTGTTCTGTATTAGCATTCTTGTAGACTCGCATTCCGATTGGTCCACCCGAACCGCAATGTGATTGGCTTACTGAACTCCTGTGATTGGAGCGCTAAGAATCTACCGCGATTGGCCGAGCCGATCGCGGGAGATTCAAAGCGCTGCCATTGGCCGCCGAGCCGCTGGCAGGCTGTAGAAAGCCAAGCGGCTCGCAAGCCTTTGCTGTCCTGTTTTCTCAAGCTTTAATAAAGAGCTGAATGTTCACTACCGTGTCTCGCCTCTTCATGTGACCCGATCCACCGATCTAAGAGCTTGCTTGCAGAAATTTCATCACCCTACTAGTTAACACCATCAGTTCTAATGAGCATGAGGTTTACTCCCTGTTTATATAGCATGGTTTGCCTTGTCACTGGGGGTAGCTTTTCATTTTCTCTTTCGATTGGCATAGAGATATAGTTTATCTCTATCTGCTGATGGCTGATTTATCAGAATGCCAAGCTTCCCGGAAGTCCCTAGAGTGCTTGGATCTAGCTTGGCCTAGGATGCTCCCAGTTCCCCAGTTGAAAATATAGTCCAATTTGTTCCATGTTTGGTGAGATTATGGAGTTTGTATAGTGTGTTCTGCTACTTGAGCCCTGTTGGCGCAGTGGTTAGAATGCAGTACTACAGGCTACTTCTGCTGACTGCCAGCTGCCTCCAATTTGGGCAGTGCAAATCCCACCAGGCTCAAGGTTGACTCAGCCTTCCATCCTTCCAAGGTCAGTAAAATGAGGACCCAGATTGTTGGGGGCAATAGGCTGACATTGTAAAATGCTTAGATAAGGTTGTAAAGCACTGGGAAACAGTAAGTGCTATTGTTATTGCTATTGTTGTTTCTGGATGTGCACTGTTAGTCTTCTATCTATTGTACTGTACATGGTGGCTGTGATAGTCATAGGATCATAGGGATGGAAGGGCGTTCAGAGGTCCTTTAGTCCAACCTCCTGTGCAAGATGGTATTCAGCAGGCTGTGACCAGTTCTGGAGAACCAGCAGGGGAACTTTTGAGTAGTTTGGAGAACCAGCAAATGCCACCTCTGACTGGCCCTGCCCCCATCCCTTCTCTGCCTCCCATTGAGTCCCAGCTGATCATCTAGGTCTTCTTTGGTTGCCCTGCACAGGAGAAAGGAGCTTGAAAGCAGGTTAGTGGGATGGGGAGGGAATGGGGATTTCACAGTATCCTTCCCCTGCCACTCCCACCAAGCCACGCCCACAGAACTGGTAGTAAAAATTTTTGAATCCCACCACTGCACAAATTGTTGTCCGATGTTTTATTGAAAACCTCCAGCGATGGCGCACCACAACTTTGGGAGGCAAGCTCTTTCATTGACTAATTGTTCTCATCATCAGGGCATTTTTCCTTAGTTCCAGACTGGTTCTCCCTGTGTCTACTTTCCATCCATTGCTTCTTGTCCTGCCCTCAGGTCCTTTGGAAAATAAACCAACCCCTCTTTTCTGTGACAGCCCTTCAAGTGTTAGAAGATGTCTACCATGTCACCTCTAAGCCTCCTCTTTGCTAGGCTAAACATACCTAGTCCCCTTAGATGTTCATTGTATGGCTTAGCCTCCAGATCTCTTATCGTTGTCTTCTCTGCACTTTTTACTAAGACCTCAGCATTTTGTTTTTTTGCATCATGGTGACCAGAATTGAACACATTAACCCAAGTGTGGCTTTACTAGTCAGGTGTGAAAGGTGAGGTCCACACGTAAAGGCTCAATTAAAGTGACTTATTGATATAGCATAAACATAACAATCTTCTCAACTTATGGTCAGCAGGTGTTTGGAGTTAGAAGGGTCAACAGAACTCAACAAGAGTTAGTCTTAGTTTGATTGTGTTAATGTAGGGAATCTGGGCTGATCCCTTTTTGTGTGAGGTGAAAGTATCAGTGATATTGCCACGGCACCATATCTACTGTACCCAAGGTCTTCAGTTGTACTTCATGGCAAAGCTGGGTTTACAGGACCAAAGGAATAACTAAATATCAATGGGTAAAGCCACATGTCTCCTGTTGCCTCAAAAACTGAACCTTCATTTCTCGACAACTCAGATTTAGGACGTTAAAGACAATTCTTTGCAAAATGTTCCCTTCTTGGGCAGAGGACATAAAGTTGATGCTTCAAAAGCAGGATTCTTTCCCTGGACAAAATGTCCAAGTTCTCCACAGCGTAAACATATTTTGCCCAGAAAAGGATTGTTGGACAGCTATTAAAAATCTGTTTGTCTGTCTGCATGGGATCAACTTTTGAAGTCTCAGGTACACAAATGGTGGGAAAAAAGAGAACAGCAGTAGTTCTTGTCCATGTGTTGTTGCAATTCCTTCACTCTTCCATTGAGTCTCTATCATGCCCAGACAAATGCATCTCTTTCATCTACCGTTTCCAGTTTAAGCTGGTCAGTTGATCATCTTCTCTTCCAATAGAAGGACATTTGCTTCTCTGGATGTTCACCATCAGGCATCCTACAAAATTATAATAGTTAACCAGGTCCGGGTTGTTCTGGAAGAGAAGTGGCTGGGGAAGGGAGGGTACTGCTCGTTCTGCAGCTGTTTCTGACATTTGTCTAATTCTGAATGTGACTTGAGACCATTCCTTGAAAAGTCTTCCAGGCTTAGATCATGTATAATTTACATTTACCAAAGAAGGTAGCAAAGTGACGTGCATTCCTTTTGTATTAATCAAGACAGAAAGTAGATAGAGGAATTGGAGAATGTGACTCATCTCTGATGCACTGGTTGTGGCAGAATCTACAAAATAGAACACACACACACACACACACACACAGAGAGAGAGAGAGAGAGAGAGAGAGAGAGAGAGAGAGAGAGAAGACCTACCTACTACAAAAAGTGTGAAAATCTTGAATTTTTCTGATGAAAGCTTTATTTTTTTTCCCCCAAGCAAAGGACACTTTGAAAGTTCTCACACAGATTGCTCACCCTGTCATAGTTGAGGTTGTTTTTAAAACAATGGGATAATCTTCTCACCCACGATCACTTTAGAAAGAGCTAAGAACTATGAGGGGCTCTTTTTGAACACATTGCATCCTTCTTCCTCCATTAGGTCTTACATGGATGTTCAAGCAAACAGGTAGGTTGAAAAAAAAATCCCACTGTGAATATGCAAGTCATTTTAAACAAGCATATATCTCTCAGTGATGCAGACCTTAGCTTAATAAAAATAATATTTATCCATTGATAGAATATACACTTTTTTCTTTCCTTTGTATTCAATACTTTAAGGCAATAGAATATTAACTTGTTGTGGAGACTTTTGAGAAACATTTGATGAAAACTAGGAAGAATTGTTTTGCTTTACAAACGTTGCAATGATAGGAATAATTGGGACGGCTGTCAAGCTGGACAGTCTTGCTTGTATGATGCCAGGACTTCTTTACATGCCCACTGCTTCACAACCTGGAAGCTGGAAAGGACCTTAGAGGTCTTCTAGTCCAGCCCCCTGCTCAAGCAGGAGTCCCTATATCATTTTCAGACAAATGACTGTCCAGTCTCTTCTTAAAGAGCTCCAGTGATGGAGCATCCACAACTTCCGGAGGCCAAGCTGTTCCACTGTCCTCACATGGCCCATTTTGAATGCAAGTTCAGGAAGGCCAGAAATGGGCCTGTTTCCGGCTTCCGGAGAGCCTCCGGAGCCTGGGGGAGCATTTTGACCCTCCTGGAGGCTCAAGGAAAGCCTCCGGAGCCTGGGGAGGGCCAAAATGCCCCCCCAACCATAGTGCAGGAGGCCAACTAGGCCACGCCCACCATGGCCACACCCACCCAGCAACCGGGCAGAGAATCCTTTGCTAAAATTTTTGAAGCCCACCCCTGCATATAAGTAGCTTATTTATGTACAATAGAAAAGGATGGGCTGAGGAATTTGGCCTCTCCAGCTAGATTAATGTACGCTCCATTTCCCATTTTCACCTTCTAAACTTAGTCAAGAAACATCTGGAAGGCAACGGTGGTGGGATGTCGAGAGCCAGCAGCTTCACTGAAGATGTGGACCTGACAGCTGAAGAGATTCTTCTGCCTCCTGTAACAGATGTCTCACAGTAAGTCCAATTGTTATATTTTCTTCTTAGGGTGGTTTAATCCAGTGGTCCTCAAACTTGACAGCTTTAAGACTTGTGGACTTCAAATCCCAGAATTCCTCCTCCAGTCATGTTAGCTCAGGAATTCTGGGAGTTGAAGTCCACAAGTCTTAAACTTGCCAAGTTTGAAGACCCTTGGTTTAATCAGTCTCTGTGGATGTTTTTATCTGTCTGAATGCAAAGCTCGATGGCAAATCTTGGGGGTCTATATTGCTTGTGAGTAGTGAGTAGATGTCTTGGGTGGGCAAACCTTTGCAAGGGGGAACATATTTGGAATGTCATACATAGATGCCTTCACTAGTTTGCTTGCACAGGAAGAATAAATCATTGCTTGCTTATTAAATAGTTGCCATGTTGGTTAGAAAGCTAAAGTCTCTGAGTCTTGGTTCATCATCATCTTTTAATGACCCCATAATCCCTTGCGGGGTAGCGTCTGGGCAACTGAATGGAGCTGAGTGTTTACTGGCTGGATGTCTTTCCTGTCACCAGTGTGGAGTTATATTCAGCAGATATTATCTCAACATGCCCATCTGCCTCTACCTTGGATTGAACTCACAGCCTCCTGATTGTGAGGCGAGAGCTCCGTATCACCTCACCACTCAATCTCATCTCTTGGTTGATGGTCCATAAATGCTCAGGCTCAACAATTACATCAAAAATGACCAGAGTGGGTCTCAGCAATCTCTTTTGTGGCACCCAGAAAGGTTCCAATAAATGAATACAATGGCCAACCTCCTAGGTTTTATGGGAGGTGTTAATAATTCTGTGTGCTTTTATGCTTTCTTCTAAATCACATTTGAAACTCAAGAGTTTAAGTATAAGCTTATACAAAAGATAATTTAGTCAAAGAATAGTAGGCTGGAAATGAACTAAATTCAGAGAATTGTGCTAACTTATCCTGGCTTAACTCATGATTTCCTGCTTCAAAATTAGTTGAAGTTTTCCTCCAGTTCACTATACTGATTTGTTCTGCGTTTTGGTCATTCAGCTGGGATTCATTAATAAGGTTAAGAGAGCTGATGGTTGTTTGATAGAATCTCAGTACTTCTGTTTGTCCTTAACTGCCATTGGATCATGGCAATCAGCATAATTAACAATGTTTACAATCTGATTAATAAATGATTGCTAGTGCTCTTTTTCTAATCATGATCCTTAGGGCTGAAAAGGTAGTTAATGAAACTATAAATCAGAATTTTCGACTGACTGTATGGGCCAGTTCTATAGGAACATATATATATCCAAAGCATGTGAAGTACTGGCAATAGTCTTGGATTTATATTTTAGCATTGGGGAGGATCACTTATTTAAGCAGAAGGGAAAGTAATTCAAGGATTCAGCCGTACAGATTGGAAAATTTCTGTGCCCTAAGATATTTAAGGAACTGTTTTATGTACAAAATAATATAAAGTATGTTTTTTGTGTTTTCTGCATTGGTTGATTTGAAAAAAGGCCTCAGGGATGTTGCTCTATTTTGATTGTTGGACATTAGAGGGTGCTCTGTCATAATAAAATGTTTCCATGTCCTCCTGCTGTTCATTTTTCAGCAAATGAGCCAGGAGGAAATGTGTATTTTGAGCCAAGAATTGTAGAATGAGCGAGTGAGGTTATTCTAGCAACCAAATTTAACATTAGGTTAAATCACCCGCTTCGTTTTAATGCTGTTTTAATAGAACTAAACACTCCGTCTGGAGTACTTGACAAGAGCAGATGCAAATGATTAATAAACATTTCAACATTATAACGTATTTGATGCACGTGATTAGTTTACCAGGCAAATCAGTCTGCAATGAACAACTGGACCATAAGATTCCTAAGGGCACCCCTTGTGTCTTTTTATAAATGTTTCTTGATTTTAGCAACTTTAAGAGGTGTGGATGCCAACTCCCAGAATTCCCCAGCCGGATAGCCCTGGGGAATTCTGGGAGTCGAAGTCCATACCTCTTAAAGTTGCCAAATTTGAAAAAAAAAAAACAACCCACTGCTTTATACTGTTTCAACTCTTTGGTACACTTAAAGAAAATTCACACCAATTGTCTGGGTGGCAAAGAGCTCTGCATGTTCTTTGTTCTTGCATCGGATGTGTTTATATATGGATTTTTATATGTTTATATATGGATTTCAACCATCTCAGATTAATATATGATTATCACAGAAGATTTATCCATATATATAAAAGCAAAATACCACTCACATATCATGACAAAATCTCTAGAACTGTAAAGCCTACAAACTTGAAATTTGGCACGTATGTTCCTTTTGGCTTCTAGGTGCTCACTAAGAAAGGATTTTTCAAAGTGACTATCACAGCATTAGTATTTCATATATTATTATTAACATGCTCTGATGCTAAGGAGCGCTACTCCCCCTCCCCACCTGAAAAGAAATCTCTTCCAACTGCAGTTGAGCTAAGCCACGCCCAGGTTCCTTGCTGTCTCCTTCTTGCTCAAACAACAACTGTTTCAGTTTCCAAACAGCCCTCAACTCTCTCACTCCCCACTTGAAAAGAAATCTGTTCCAACTGCAGTTGAGCTAAGCCATGCCCAGGCTCCTTGCTGTCTCCTTGCTCACACAGCAAATACTGTTTCACTTTCCAAACTGCCCTCAACTCTCTCACACACTGACAGGACACTAGCCAGATGAATACCGATGGATGCTGGTAGGCAGAGGCACATTTCCCCCCCCTTATTTTCCTCCCCCAAAACTTTCCACATTACATAGCTTCATAGCGAAGCACAGGTACCCCGCTAGTCCAGTGGTGGTATTCTACCGGTTTGGCCCAGTTCTGGCGAGCTGGTAGCAGCAATGAGCAGCGGAGACTGAACCAGTTCTCTCCACTGCTCTACTGTTGGGGCCCACCCACCTACCTGGGCTCCCATACTCACCTTTATCCTCTGGATTTGAAGCACAGCTGCTTTGCGCGGCATAGAAGAGTGCCGCGCGGCAGCTGCTGAAGCAATCGGGATCGTGCAGGTTTGCAGGAGGTGAGTTAGAACGCCTCTAAAGTGCTCGTTTGGCGCGTGTGTGCATGCAAAGTGTGCCCACCAAGCCATGCCCATCAAACCGATGGTAAAAATATTTGAATCCCATCACTGTGCTAGTCTATTAATAGGAGGAAATCCTGAATGCCGAGGGGTTATCTGTTTCAAAGCATTCATTGGGTACCAGGTAGCTGTTTCTCTTTCATCAGGAGGTTTCCTTGGTGCACAGGAGACATAATCTTCTACAATAAATAAATATTTATGTTTTACACTCAGTTTCTAGATAGAATAGAATAGAATAGAATAGAATAGAATAGAATAGAATAGAAT